TTTATTGTAAGGTTTCAAACAAATCAGAATATAAGCAGTAAAAAGTCAATAGTACAAGGTAAAAATCCAATAGATTCCCTTTGAGTCAAAGCAGGAAACTTGAAGCAAGAAGCAGCATAAAATCCAGGAAATAGCATGAGGTTACATGAAGCAGGCTTTCTTTCTCAAGGTCCAAGGCCCAGAGCAGGAGACAACGCGAGCCATTTTTGCAACGTTGAAACTGACGCCGAATCAGTTCCCAGGCAGTTTACTTATAGGTAAAACATCAAAACATTGAACATTAAACAGACAGCTAACAAGCAGTTTTCCCACCAACGGATGGGCTCAAGACTTGGCCGCAATTCGTAAACTCCTTCTTAACACCTGCGGCACAGTCTGACCTTCACTAGCTGTTTTATCAGCCACATTCCGTTCCTGTGATAACAATGGTTTCTCTCTAGCTACAGACTGTGGCTGAGAAAACTGAGAAATCTGAAATCCCACACCTGCATCTGTATTCCCATTCCCATCATGCTCATCTGCACCCTCAGTCCCATCATGCTGTTGCTGCTGAACCACAACACTATCCCCCCCAAGCCCCCCCCCTTGGCCCCCCCCGGACCGGGCTTGGCCGGGTAGGCCCGGTGAAAGCGGGACACTAGGAGAGGAGCATGGACATCTCGAGCATCTATCCAACAGCGCTCCTCAGGACCATATCCCACCCAGTCCACCAAGTATTGTAACTTGCGGTGATAACGGCGAGAGTCCAAAATGTCCGCCACTTCGAATTCCTCCTCTCCATCACGCAGAATCGGGGGTGGCGGAGGGGCCCCGCCAGCATCAGGCCGGACTTCCGCGGCGGGTCGAAGCAAAGATCGATGAAAAACAGGATGAATCCGCATGCCGCGCGGAAGCTTTAGCTTAAAGGTCACAGGATTTAATTGGTCCACCACTGGGATATGGCCCCACAAAACGAGCGTCAAGCTTTCGAGAGGGGCGTTGTATAGGCAGGTGTTTAGTGGACAACCAAACACGATCTCCCACTTGGATCGGTGGACCCGGCTGTCGATGGTTATCAGCCACTCGTTTGTAATCCTCTTTTGCCTGCTCAAGCTGAGCCTTTAAAATCTCTTGAATCGCTGAGAGCTCCTGCAGCCAAGTGGTAGCAGCAGGGACCTCCCCTGAACCAACCACGGAGGGAAAGAACCGGGGGTGATATCCATAGTTAGCAAAGAACGGGGCTTCTTTGGTCGATCCGTGAGTAGCGTTGTTATAAGCAAACTCAGCTACAGCAAGAAGCGATGACCAATTGTCCTGTTGATAGTTTACAAAACATCTCAAATATTGTTCAAGGGTGGCGTTGGTCTTCTCGGTCTGGCCATCGGATTGTGGATGGTGTGCTGACGACATCCGACTCTCGATGCCCAACTGCCGCTGAATCTCCTTCCAAAAATGCGAGGTAAATTGGGCACCGCGATCGGTCACCAAACTCGTTGGAAGTCCATGAAGACGGAAGATGTGACTCAGGAACAAATCGGCAGTTTCTTTGGCAGTAGGCACTCCCCCACAGGGAATGAAATGTCCCATCTTGGTGAAGAGATCCACCACTACCAAAATGGTGGTGAACCCTTGAGATTCTGGTAAATCCGTGATGAAGTCGGCCGACACGATTTCCCAGGGCCGACTCGGAGTGGGTAGAGGTTGTAGCAAACCAGCCGGTTTGCCCGTAGAGTTCTTGGCGCGGTGGCAAACAGGGCACCCATTGACATATTTCTCGACCTCTCGTCGGATCTTGGGCCACCAAAAGTCCCTCAGCACCAGCTGCATTGTTTTAAAGATCCCAAAATGCCCCGCTGGCTTGGTGTCATGGCATAGTCTTAAAATCTCCTCCCGCTCGGGGCCGGGCGGCACATAAACCTTTGAACGATGACACAGCATCCCATCTAACTCCTGAAATGGGAATTTTAGTCCGGCCTCCAGCTGCTCTTGCACCCACAAGTCCTCTTGCTGCCGCGCCCGGATCCTTTCAGCCAGAGTCGAAGGGGGTCCTGTTGCGCCGGTGGACGCAAAGTTTTCTGGACGCAAAATGCAGGACTCAGCGGAATCTTCCTGGCCCCGAGTATACTCCGGCTTGCGCGATAAAGCATCTGCTTGTTTGTTTTGGGCCGCTGGCACGTAGCAAATTCAGAAGTTGAATCTCTCAAAAAACAACGCCCAACGCTGCTGTCGTTGGTTTAACTTCCGGGAGGTACGGAGATATTCCAGATTGCGATGATCCGTATGGACTTCCACTGGTTGCAGAGCACCCTCTAGCCAATGTCTCCAAGTCTCAAACGCCGACTTGATGGCTAGGAGTTCTTTTTCCCAAATGGTGTAGTTCCGTTCTGGGGCAGTCAACTGTCGAGAAAAGTATGCACAGGGCTGGAGATGATCCCCCGCAGGTTGTAGCAACACTGCCCCGACCGCCACATCCAACGCGTCGGCCTGCACCACAAAGAGCTTAGTTGGATCAGGATGTTGCAGGATAGGCTGAGAAGTGAAAAGCTTCTTGAGCTGCTGAAACCTCTTTTCAGCCGCCTCAGTCCATAGGAACGGCCGTTTGCCTCTCAGGCATTGGGTAATGGGGTCCGCCCAGCGGGCAAAGTCTGGAATGAACTTGCGATAGTAATTGGCAAAACCCATGAATCTTTAGATGTCCTTTGTGCTCATGGGGGACTTCCATTCTAACACCGCGGAGACTTTAGCGGGGTCCATGGAAATTCCCTCCGCAGAGATGCGGTGTCCCAGAAAGTCTACTTCATTTAAATCGAAGGCGCACTTTTCCAGCTTAGCATAAAGTCCATGATCTCTCAGGCGCTGGAGCACTGCACGCACCTGTTGCGCGTGGTCCCGTGGATTCGTGGAGTAGATCAGGAAGTCGTCCAGGTAAATGACCAAAAAACGGTCTAAAAAGTCGCGGAAGATGTCGTTGACGAAGTGCTGGAACGTGGCCGGAGCGTTACAGAGCCCGAAACTCATGACTCTGTATTCGAAGCTTCCGAAGCGGGTCTGGAAGGCTGTCTTCCACTCGTCCCCTTCCCGGATACGCACCAAGTTATAGGCCCCCCTTAGGTCCAATTTGGTGAAAATCCGGGCCCCTCGCAAACGGTCGAGAAGCTCCGGGATGAGGGGAAGCGGATAACGGTTCTTGATCGTGATGTTGTTCAATGCCCGATAGTCATTGCAAAGCCGCAACTCCCCTGACTTTTTCTTGACAAACAAAACTGGGGCCCCAGCCGGCGACTGCGAGGGACGAATGAACCCCTTGCGTAGGTTAGTATCCAAGAACTCCCGGAGAGCCGCCAGCTCTGGTTCCGAGAGAGAATACAATCGCCCACGCGGAATCGGGGCGCCCGGGATCAAGTCAATAGCGCAGTCATACGGCCGGTGCGGAGGAAGTCTCTCCGCCTCCTTCTCGCTGAAAACGTCCCAGAAATCTTGGTATTTAGCGGGCAACTTGACCATGGCTTGTGCGGCAACCTCAGCGGTCCGACACTTCCGCTCCCCACCGCAATGTTCTTTGCAAAAGGCCGAGGTGAACTGTAATTTCTTCTGAGCCCACCAAATGGTCGGGTTGTGCTTGGCCAGCCATGGAATTCCCAACACCACGGCGTGTGGAAGGTCCGTGACCAAAAAGGAGATCTCTTCCACATGGTCCCTGACTTCCATCTGCACGGGCGCTGTATAGCGAGCCACCGGCCCGGCTTTCAGCAATCGCCCATCAAAGTTTTGTACATCCCGGGGAGGTTGGAGGTCTAAACATTGTAATCCAAGGAACTCCACAAACCGACTGTCCATGAAATGGTTAGTGGCCCCACAGTCGACCAGCGCGTGCACCGCCGTGGGAGTCTTTTGGGCTACACAAAACGAAACCAAGAGAAAAAACAGCAACCCAGTCGCGGGCTCTGGAAACGGGGTGGGGACCGAGTTTGCGAGCCCAGCTAAACTCGGTCGTTGCCTTCCCCCGCCGGCTGTTCAGCCCACTGCTCACCAGATATCTGGGCCTGGGACGCCACGGGCTCCACTGAGCCGGAGACCCCCGCCAGGCGGGGACTTGTCTTCTTCTTTACTGGGCACTCCCGAGAGAAATGTCCGCTGCCCCCACAATACCAACACAGGTTTAACCGTTGCCTCCGCGCCTTTTCCGCCGCATCAATTTTGGGGCGCATGGAGCCCAGCTGCATGGGTTCCTCTACATCGGGCGCACGAGATGGCGGCGGTCCCAAGCGACGTGGTACTCCCGCATCGGCCCCCTTTCGACCAACAGGCCGAGGACCCGCAATGATGTGACGTTGGTTGGTCATGGTCCCATCTATCCGGATACATAGGGTCATCAATTCTTCCAAGTCGGCCGGGACCGCAGAACGGGCCACCTCCAACTGCATCTCCTGGGTGAGCCCCGCCTTGAAGGCGCTCATGTAGGCGGCATCGTTCCAAGCCAGCTCCCGCTGCAATACACGAAACTCTGAAATGTATTGGGCCAAACACCCCTCTCTTTGCGTTAGGGCTCGCAGCTTACGATCCGCCATCTCCCGGTGCACTTGGCCTCCCCAGACTTTGTGCAGTTCATCCATGAAGGCCTTAACAGTGTTGCACACAGGGGAAGCGGCCTCACGTAGCGCGGTGGCCCAGGAGAGGGCCGGGCCCTCCAACAGACTGTAGGCAAAGCCCACCTTGGCTGCTTCATTCGGGAACTCCGCTGCCCGCACGGTGAGGTAGGCATCACACTGCCCCAGGAAGTCCTTGACCCGTTGACTGTCTCCAGAGAACTTGTTGGGCAACGCCATAGGAGTCCTTAGCGGCTGGGCCGGAGGGTTAGCTGCTCCTTGCGCTTGCATCGCGGCTATCTGCTGCTGAAGGTTCTGTAGCTGCTGCTGCATCGCCTGAGCTTCTGCAGGATTCATGGTGGCTGGGAGAAGCAAGGACTTTGTTGTAGGTCAGTTTCAAACTGTTGTATCTCAGGCTAAAATTCACCTTGCTCTCTCTGACAAACCAGCCAAACTTATGAAGAAAGAAGTTTATTGTGAGGTTTCAAACAAATCAGAATATAAGCAGTAAAAAGTCAATAGTACAAGGTAAAAATCCAATAGATTCCCTTTGAGTCAAAGCAGGAAACTTGAAGCAAGAAGCAGCATAAAATCCAGGAAATAGCATGAGGTTACATGAAGCAGGCTTTCTTTCTCAAGGTCCAAGGCCCAGAGCAGGAGACAACGCGAGCCATTTTTGCAACGTTGAAACTGACGCCGAATCAGTTCCCAGGCAGTTTACTTATAGGTAAAACATCAAAACATTGAACATTAAACAGACAGCTAACAAGCAGTTTTCCCACCAACGGATGGGCTCAAGACTTGGCCGCAATTCGTAAACTCCTTCTTAACACCTGCGGCACAGTCTGACCTTCACTAGCTGTTTTATCAGCCACATTCCGTTCCTGTGATAACAATGGTTTCTCTCTAGCTACAGACTGTGGCTGAGAAAACTGAGAAATCTGAAATCCCACACCTGCATCTGTATTCCCATTCCCATCATGTTCATCTGCACTCTCAGTCCCATCCTGCTGTTGCTGCTGAACCACAACAGAGCACAGAAGAGACTCCATCTTGTCTTCTGCCTGTATCATCACTTAGAGGCCTCGCCCCCTTCTGGCTCCAAGGGCTGCTCTAGCCAGAGCAAAGACAGAAGGGCACAGAAGAGACTCCATCTTGTCTTCTGCCTATATCATCACTAGAGGCCTCGCCCCCTTCTGGCTCCAAGGGCTGCCCTAGCCAGAGCAAAGACAGAAGGGCACAGAAGAGACTCCATCTTGTCTTCTGCCTATATCATCACTTAGAGGCCTCGCCCCCTTCTGGCTCCAAGGGCTGCTCTAGCCAGAGCAAAGACAGAAGGGCACAGAAGAGACTTCCATCTTGTCTTTTGCCTATATCATCACTTGAGAGGCCCCTCCCCCCTTCTGGCTCCAAGGGCTGCTCTAGCCAGAGCAAAGACAGAAGGGAACAGAAGACACTTCCATCTTGTCTTAGAATTTACTATTCTTATTGTTAGTTAATTGTGAAAGGGGCAAGGGACAAAGCGAGCTGGAGATCTTGGGAAATGATAGAACAGGGGTGGGGGGAGATAAAGGGAACAGAAGACCATGGCAAGTTGAGATCCCAACAAAGCAAATTGCCAACAATGAAATACATATTGAGATTCTGGATATGGAATGCGGCATGGAGGAGGGGGGGTGTTGCGCCAGCCGAGGGGCCCCCATAGAAGTGGTGGTGGGGAAGGGGAGATGCGGGAAAAGGAGACCATTAATTCAGCCTAGGGATCGTGTAACAACATTAGTAATTCCAAACCGGTCTCCTGATATGGTAAACTGGTGTAACCAGGATGGCGGTCCCTCTGGATTGAAGGTGGTGCTGTTGAACGCCAGATCTGTCAATGGAAAAACAACTTTCATCCAGGACTTAATCCTGGATGAGCGGGCAGATCTGGCGTGCATTACGGAGACCTGGTTGGACGAAGCGGGAGGCGTGAATTTGACCCAGCTTTGCCCACCAGGTTTTTCCGTGCAGCACCAGCCGAGATCCGGAGGGCGGGGAGGCGGGGTCGCAGTGGTCTATAGAGATTCCATCCCTCTGACCAGGGGCCCCATCCCGCAGTCAACAAATTTTGAATGTGTCCACTTGAGGTTGGGTGACCGGGACAGAATAGGGATTCTGTTAGTGTACCGCCCACCTCGCTGCACTACAGTCTCCTTACCTGAGCTAGCGGGGGTGGTCTCAGGCCTGGCATTGGAATCCCAGCGGCTCCTTGTGCTGGGGGACTTCAATGTCCATGCCGAGGCGGCCCTTTCAGGAGCGGCTCAGGACTTCATGTCTGCCATGGCAACCATGGGGCTGTCCCAACAAGTATCTGGCCCCACTCACAGTGCAGGACATACATTGGACTTGGTTTTCTGCCAGGGATGGGAGGAAGGTGGTGGGGTCGAGGAGCTGACCATCTCTCCGTTGCCATGGACTGACCACTTCCTGGTCAGATTTAGGCTCACTGCGCCCCCTAACCTCTGCAGAGGTGGAGGACCCATTAAGTTGGTCCGCCCCAGGAGGCTTATGGATCCGGATGGATTCCTGATGGCTCTTGGGGAGTTTCCCGCCGCCTCGGTAGGTGAACCTGTCGAGGCCCTGGTCACTCTCTGGAATGGGGAGATGACTAGGGCAATTGACACGATCGCTCCGGAACGTCCCCTCTCAAGTAGCCGAGCTAAACCAGCTCCTTGGTTCACCGAGGAGCTGGCAGCGATGAAGCGAAGGAAGAGGGAACTAGAGAGTGTGTGGCGTTCGGATCCGAGCGAGCCAAATCGAACACGGTTTGTGTCCTTTTTAAGGGCATATGCCGCGGCAATAAAAGCCGCAAAGAAGGCCTTCTTTGCGGCCACTATTGCGTCTGCAAAGAACCGTCCGGCTGAGCTGTTCCGAATTGTCAGAGGTCTTTTAAATCCCACCACTCAAGGTGGGAACCCTGATGATTCGACTTCTCGCTGTGAAGCTTTTGCTCAGTTCTTTGCAGACAAAGTCGCTTTGATCCGTTCTGGTCTGGATACCATGTTAATGGCAGTCTCTGAGGATGTAACACGAGCACCTGCTTGTCCAGTTTTGATGGATTCATTTCAATTGGTGAAACCCGAGGATGTGGACAAGATACTTGGAGGAATGAGGCCAATCACATGCATCCTGGACCCCTGCCCATCCTGGCTTCTAAAGGAGGCCAGAGGGGGATTGGCTGAGTGGGTTAAGGTGGTGGTTAATGCTTCCCTTCGGGAAGGCAAGATTCCAGCGAGCTTAAAACAAGCTATAATAAAACCGCTGTTGAAGAAACCATCACTGGATCCCACTAAATTCGACAACTATCGGCCAGTTTCCAATCTCCCCTTCTTGGGCAAAGTCTTGGAACGTGTGGTGGCCTCACAACTCCAGGTATTCTTGGTAGACACGGATTATCTAGACCCGGCACAGTCTGGCTTTAGGCCGGGACATGGTACCGAGACAGCCTTGGTCGCCTTAGTGGATGATCTGCGCCGGGAGCTCGACAGGGGGAGTGTGTCCCTGTTGGTGCTGCTGGACCTCTCAGCGGCCTTCGATACCGTCGACCACGGTATCCTTCTGGGACGCCTCGCGGGGATGGGTCTTGGAGGTACTGTTTTGCAGTGGCTCCGGTCATTCCTAGAGGGTTGATCTCAGAAGGTGTTGTTGGGAGACACCTGTTCAACCCCACAACCATTGTCTTGTGGGGTTCCTCAGGGCTCAATACAGTCTCCCATGTTGTTCAACATCTACATGAAGCCGCTGGGGGAGATCATCCGGAGTTTCGGGTTACGGTGTCATCTGTACGCGGATGATGTCCAACTCTGTCACTCCTTTCCACCTGCTACTAAGGAGGCTGTCCAGGTCCTGAACCGGTGCTTGGCCGCTGTGACAGTCTGGATGGGGGCGAACAAATTGAAATTGAATCCAGACAAGACAGAGGTACTCCTGGTCAGTCGCAAGGCCGAACAGGGCATAGGGTTACAGCCTGTGTTGGATGGGGCCGCACTCCCCCTGAAGATGCAGGTTCGCAGCTTGGGTGTGACCTTGGACTCATCGCTGAGCCTGGAACCCAGGTTTCGGCGGTGACCAGGGGAGCATTTGCACAGCTAAAGCTTGTGCGCCAGCTGCGCCCGTACCTTGGGAAGTCTGACTTGGCCACGGTAGTCCACGCTCTGGTTACATCCCGTTTAGACTACTGCAACGCTCTCTACGTGGGGTTGCCTTTGAAGACAGCTCGGAAGCTCCAACTAGTCCAACGCTCGGCAGCCATGATTTTAACAGGAGCGGAGCGCAGGGAGCATACAACCCCCCTGTTGCGCCAACTCCACTGGCTACCGATCTGCTACCGGGCTGAATTCAAAGTGCTTGCGTTGGCCTTTAAAGCCCTAAACGGTTCCGGCCCAAGCTACCTATCTGACCGCATCTCTGCCTATGAACCCACCAGGAGTTTGAGATCTTCCGGGGAGACCCTGCTCTCGATCCCGCCTGCTTCTCAAGCTCGGCTGGCGGGGACGAGAGATAGGGCCTTCTCGGTGGTGGCTCCTCGGCTGTGGAACGCCCTTCCTACGGACATTAGACTAGCACCATCTCTAATGGTATTCCGCAAAAAGGTGAAGACCTGGATGTTTGTGCAGGCGTTTGAGTAATTTAGTGCAATCTGGTAATGGAACATAGGAATGGAACAATGGGCGACGAACCTGGACTACGCTTGGATGATGAGAAGATTGGGTACGGTTGTTTTTAGTAATAATTGTGCATTGTAATTGCTTATTGGTAATTTATGGATAATGTGTTAAGTCAATTGTTATATGTTGTATGGAACCACTGCTGTTTCTACTGTTTTTACTGTTTGTGAACCGCTGTGAGTCGCCTTCGGGCTTGAGATACAGCGGTATATAAGAAAAGTAAATAAATAAATAATAATGGCCAAAGTTGGTGCTCTTTCTTGGACAGAGCTGTGTATTTCAGGTAGCTTGCCACAGGTGCAATGTAAAATACTAGCACATTACCAGAAAAAGTCACCAACTGTCCATTTGGCTTGTTTATTTATTTATTTACCATTTTTCCCAACCCCGTAGGAGACTCAAGGCATTTTAGAGGGGAAGCGTGTGTGCATCTTTATGTGATTGTGTTCTTTAGTACCTATAGTAGCAAAATGCCTTGGGCTGAACTGAAGTGACAGTTGTAATCTGTAACTCGCAGTTACAATTAGGAGGACTTTACTTATGCCATGTTAGGTTTATATGCTACTGTTTGCCCCTTAAAATGCCAGCTTCTGTAGTGTTCAGATTAAAAAGACAGCCTGGTTCGGCCAATTTATCTTCTAGAACGTATTTGTGGGAAATGGCTTTAGTTTGGAATCCTAAAAAACTAAGTAGGTTAATAATTGAGCATAATAACTAAGACTAAAAGCTACTCTTGTACTTTATGAAGCTGGAATTGCTTTATAAAGCTGCCATGTTATTTTCTGGATGACACAGAGAAACAATCCGCATGGTTACTTATTCCCATGTGCCAGCTCATGTGCAGGTGTTCTAAGTACAAAGTCCTTTTCCATTAATAAAAGGTGCTTATTGTGAGGTGAAACATCAGCAACAGGCTTGAGAAGGAACTCAAGTGAGGCCGCAGAAACTTTGAACTTAAACCCCGTGCATATGAGTTGGAACACAGAAATGAACCCAGTAGTGTGGATTGTTTCTCATGGTAGGTACCACCCCCCCACCCCCCCCCACATTCTTCGTTTTCTTCCTCTTTAGAGTCACATTACAAGTACATGATTTGGTGATATATTAAAATTGAATTTGGTAATAAACTACAAGCAGATCTGTTTTTTTCCCTTTCATACAACATTTTCCGGTAGACTGGGGCACTGAAGATCATCGACAGAAAAAAGAACATCTTCAAATTAGCTCAGGGAGAATACATTGCACCTGAAAAGATTGAAAACATCTACATCAGAAGTAGTCCCGTGGCACAGGTCTTTGTACATGGAGAGAGTCTACAGGTGAGCCATAGTCCTTAAAGCAATATCATGAAGAGTGGTGTTGTCTTGTTTGCTCTCAGCAAGATGCTCAAATCTGAATAATCAAATTAAAACATGATTTGCTGCTGAGCAGGACATCTGCAACATTATAATAAACTACATACTTAAAAACCACAGACTTCCTTCTCAAAAAGATATATGAGCTTTTTTCACCCCAAGGGGCAGATTTAAGGGGATTGTTTTCTGTTAACAAAATATGAAAGGTTTTCTGTTCCTGGCTTGTTTCCTGTGTAATTGTATAGTACCTACTTTGAAAGTAGTTTTTATACTCCAGGAACTTTTCTTTGAGACTGCAACAAACTATCGAATTGGGTCCCTCTAGGGCAGCGGTCGGGAACCTATGGCTCTCCAGGTGTGGTGGACTTCAACTCCCACAATGCCTTGAGGCTCGGCACTAGCGGGCGGGGCCGAAGCGGCGAGGAGGCGCGTTGGCGAGGAGGCGCGTTGCCCGCAGGGGTTTCTGCCCGCTCTCTCCCTCCGAGGCCAGCCTTTGCTGCCCGTCCTCTATGAAAAAGAGGCTCTTTTTCATGGAGGACGGGCAGCAAAGGCTGGCCTCGGAGGGAGAGAGCGGGCGGAAACCCCTGCGGGCAACGCGCCTCCTCGCCAACGCGCCTCCTCGCCGCTTCGGCCCCGCCCGCTAGTGCCGAGCCTCAAGGCATTGTGGGAGTTGAAGTCCACCACACCTGGAGAGCCATAGGTTCCCGACCGCTGCTCTAGGGAGAGGGTGGGTTATAGATGAAGTGTTGTTGAAAAACTATAGCAAAATGTGCTGCAGGATGTCTCGCAAAAGCAACCTTTTTGCAGTTTAATAAACTTTTCAAATGACATTTATGACACAGGAAAAAAAATGTGTTACAAAGTGTAATATGGTCACACCTCCACATTTGCTGGGAGTGGGGCACAGGACCCCCCCCTTCAAAAAAAGCCCCAAAACAAAACACAACAACTCCTCTCTGAGTCTTTTTCACACAATACTTGATTTAAAAGAGGTTTCTTTTTTAACCTGAGAGAACACTTTTGGAAATCTCTAAGCCCTTCAACACAACGCCATGGTTTGAATATTTATCTGCTTTCTCAAACAGTCTTTCCTGGTGGGTGTGGTTGTTCCTGATCCAGAGACACTTCCAGAGTTTGCAAAGAAACTGGGAGTAAATGGTTCATATGAAGAACTCTGTAAAAATGAAGTAAGTGCCACTCTTCTCTTATTGAAAATTGGCGTCTTTCATTTGAAGTGAGCTTGCGTTAACTCCTCTTCAAATGAAGGTGGAAATTGTTTCAAGGATCTTACATGCTATTCAATGGTTAGATGTAAATTTGTTTGAAAATATTGGCTTCTCATATGAAACTTGGTATGGTAAACTATGGTCTCTCACTTAAAACTTCCAAGAAGATTTAAGCAGTGGAGCTTTAACGAAGATGGAAAGGAAATGAGTGTACAATGCAACAGAAATTCTGATGTGGAATTTGTATCCTGGAGGTGGTACAATGAGGCGAATGACAGGAGGGAGTTTAAGCAGACATAGGCAACATGTGACCTTCCATATTTTGTTGGACTTCACCTCCAGATGGATTAATTGCACTTTTTGCCAGCCTAAATCTCTGGTTTTGCAGTTTGGTCTTTTTTCCCCTCTAAAAATTGTTACCCTTCCCTTATCTAAAAGTTGTAAAATACCACTCGTTAAAAAAATAAACTTCCTGTTTCCTCTAGGCAGTGAAAAAAGCCATCTTGATGGACATGGTCAGGTTGGGAAAAGAAGCAGGTCTCAAGTCCTTTGAACAGGTGAGTAGCTATTCATCAAGCAATTTTCTCAAGGCTACTGCTGTTAAATGGCTTTGGATATAGTGAGCTCAAATGCAAAATTAGAAAGATGTGATACAGCAATTTAAGAATAGGCTAAAAGAATACATTTTTATATTCTGTTCTTTTCATATTTCTATACTGTAGTAGAGTTGGTTTTGAATCCAGTTCTTCATCCCAATTAGATGAGAACCAATGGGAATTTTAGTAAATAAAATATGTAAGTTCTGTTCATTCAGTGTGTCTGCAGTATCTAGGACTAACCATTAGATTTAGATTTGCAATCCTAACAATGGGCTTTGTAGATAGTGGTGGATAAACTCTTGTCAACATGGAATATATAAATAGCTAACTCATACCATGGCATGCCAAATCCAGTTTAGCTAGTCAGTTCAAACATCAGTTTTTTGGCATATCAAACATGTTCAACGTTCATTTTCATGACAAACTATTTTTTGCAACCAGGTGAAAGACATCTACCTTCATTCAGAAATGTTCACGGTTGAAAACGGACTCTTAACTCCAACACTGAAAGCAAAGAGAACAGAAGTATCCAAGCACTTCAGGAATCAAATTGATGCACTATACACTTCTAATATGTAGGGATTGGGAAGAAATAAAAGTTACCTCGGCTAAATGTGTTTACGATGGACTATGCAAGCATTTCCCGAGGCACTGGAAGATCATTTCCTATTTATAGAAAAATAAACACCCATGCTTGGCTAATGTATCACCAGGTTGCAGTGCACCTTGCATAAAAATGTTTAAGGTGTTCAAGTGGAGCAGGTGGTTTGTTTTGCACAAAACATATTGGGAAGCTGTTTTGCCACAATACTTCATCACACAACCCTAATAGAAATGAAGAGGCCTTATGGTTTGAATAGTTGGAATGTATGGCTGTTCATTCTGAAGTGGAACAGTCTGCCTCCACTTGACCAAAGTTATGATTAAATGCTAATTTAATCTGCTCCTTTCTGTGGCTGTACACTAAGTAAGGGTATGTAATATATTATCATCTCCTCAGTATCTTAATTTGTATAGTCATGTTTGTATAATATTTTTTTCTGGGGAAAGCTATGCGCTTCATCATCCTGCAATAGACACTCAAATGTTTTAACATCAAATGTACATATCCTCTTTCTATCCAAATACTGTTGAGGCACAAACTGATTGTATTACTGAAAAAAATATGAATGTGAAAAATAAAGAAATTGCACTTTTGGAAATGTCTTCTTCTGTTAAGGACATGTTTGCTAAATTTTAATAATGTGAAGAGCACAGGGCTACTATTAAGTGATAGCTGATAGTGAAATCAGTACTTCTCATGCTGAATACCTGTGAGCCTTTTGCCTAATATGGCAGCGAAAACCAAAATTGTAAAAGGTTTGGAACGTATGCACTGTGAGCAGCTTAGGCAGCTTTGTGTTTAGTCTGGAGATGATGAAGAAGTGACATGAGAACCATGTTTAAGTAACTGAAAGGATGTTATATTGAAGATAGAGCGAACTTGTTTTGTGCTATCCAGAGGCTAGAACATGGAGCAATGGATTTAAACTACAGGAAAAGATTCCACCTAAAAATTAGGAAGAAATTTCTGAGTCAAAACTGTTCGTAAGTGGGATATACTTCCTTTGAGCGGTAGAGGACCTTATTTTAAAGGTTTTAAACAGAGGTTGGATGGGCATCTGTGGGGAATGCTTTTTGTATTCCTACATGGGGTGAGGGGAGGTTAGATTGATGGCCCTTGCAGTCTATTCCAACTTTCTTGTGACATGTGTAAATACTGTTTATGGGTTACTTTTTTGCTTACTACTAGAGCTTTATTCTGGGGTGTGTTTTGAGAACTTGATGCTACATTTCCCAAAGTTGCTGGACCTCAGCTGCACAACCAGTGACTTCCTACAGTCGGGAAAGTCACCAAAGCCTTCTCTTTGTGCATTTCCTTTCTCTGTTTGATTCCTGGGTGGTGCTAGGGGGACTTGATGCTACATTTCCCAACCTTGCTGGGCCTCAGCTGCACAGCCGGTTACTTCCTACAGTATATCAAGTTTATATCACAGTATATCAAGATTCAGGAGCCCCCGGTGGTGCAGTGGGTTAAAGCGCTGAGCTTGTTGACCGAAAAGTCACAGGTTCGAATCTGGGGGGGTGGCGTGAGCTTCCGCTGTCAGCCCCAGCTTCTGCCAACCTAGCAGTTCGAAAACATGCAAATGTGAGTAGATCAATAGGTACTGCTCCGGCGGGAATGTAACGGTGCTCCATGCAGTCATGCTGGCCACATGACCTTGGAGGTGTCTATGGACAATGCCGGCTCTTCGGCTTAGAAATGGAGATGAGCCCCACACCACAGAATCGGACACAACTGGACTTAATGTCAGGGGAAAACCTTTACCTATATCAAGATTCATCATTTTTGTTCTAGAAATGAGGGTGGGAGAAGCCCCTGGAGTTTCCCTAGTGCCAGTGCTGTTTTTTGCTCATTGAGCAATCATGTCTGCCATTAACAGATCGATTCGGAAGTTTCAAAAAGTTCCAACTTTTTTGTTCACCAGATATTTATGAGTTCTCTGGCCTGTCTTTGGACCTCAGCTTTTGTACTAGCATAGATCTTTTTCTTAGCAGTGCAGTTGGTGTCTCTCTGCCATATATGGAAGGCTTTCTTTTTCTTAGCAATTAACTATTGGATCTCTTTGTCATTTTCATTAAACCAGTCTAGATGTTTCTTAGTTTGGTATCCAATGGTTTCTTTGCAGGCTGTGATGATGGAGGTCTTCAGTTTGTTCCAATGTTTCTAAATATTTTCAGAGTGTTCTATGGGTAGATGATCCTTGAGTGCTGTTTGGAGAAAGGCTAATTGGAGGGCTCTTCAAGGGCTTGGGTGTCCATTTTTCGTTTTGCATTTCTTCCTTGGAGTCTGCGTTTAGGGGCCATCTTGATTGCCATTGTGGATTGGATTAATCTGTGGCCTGTCCAGCAGTCATCAGCACCTGTCATGGGTATTGTGAGGAACACACCGCAGCGAACTATAATTACATAGTCTAAGAGGTGCTAATGCAGGGGTGCTTCCATGATGTCTTAAGCTAGGGTTTTTTTTTTTGTGTGTGGAAGAGTGTGTTTGTAATGGCAAGGGTGTGTTCTGCATATTTGGTGAGAAACATGCCACTTTGGGTTGCTGTTTCCAACCCCATCTTTTCCTATGATCCCTGGCCACGGATTGAAGTCTGGTCTACCTCTTGCGTTAAAATCCCCTCAGGAGGATGCTTTTGCTCTCCTTAGGTATTTCTGATACCTAAGGACATTTGACCAAAGAATAAGCTGACATCACTGGAGGCTACAATTTGCTCCCTTACCATACACATTTGCAGCGAGAACTCTTCCACAATATCGAGGTGTACTTTTCTCTAAATACTCACTGGATAATAAATACATAATACATCTTGGTGTTTATTTCTGGTTCACATAAAAAGTTGCCACATGATTGCAAAATAATTCCAGGTATCAAATCTACTTACATTTTCACTCATTCTAACATCTTACAATTTCCAAAGTGGGGAATGAAAGGAGCCAACCGGCAATGTAGCATTAATAGACAAGAAAAGCAGACTACATATGCAAAGAAACATCTTGAGAAAACTAAGCAAAGAAACCTTCACGTAATTTTTAAAACAGGAAAACAGATCAAATGTGTTCTGGACCTGTGAAAGCTTCAATATAAAAAGGCATCCATTGAATGGCTTCCTCCATTTAAAAAAAATGGCAAAAGGTATTTCAGGTTATGGCACTGGGGCACCCATTCCTGTGAATACACAGAAAACCACTCTTTGTTCAAAGCTCAGGTCTAGAGTAGTATACAGAACATTTCAAGTAAGAGGACAGTGGTCCGAAAGAAACATTTTCATTGACTTTTTAAAAAGGTCGGGTGGAAGGGCTATCTTGTTTTCTTTTCTCCGTCCAGAGACTGATCAGTTTCGGCATCATACAGGCATTTCTCTACACACCTCCTCGGAAACCAACCTCTGACTCTCTTTCCATCTAGCATTGAGAGATAAATAATAAACATTAGCCATAGCATACAACAACATTCATTTTACCACAGAATAAATGTATCTATCCTCACCCCCAAATACTCAATTCCACCATACATATCAAAGAATATTTAACCAAGATGACTAGTTTGTGAAGATTTTTAAAAAATATTTCTGAGGTCCCAAATCCTGTCATATATACATTTTTGAAAACTACTTCCAAACAGAGCTTTTCTATAGTATGCTGAGCTGATCAAATAAAATGGAGACTTCCCAATGACAGGCATATAAGTATATGCAGCACAGCAATATTTCTCAAGGCAACTGATACAAGGTACGAGCAATCCCACCCCCTGCAGATGGATGCCAAATGTGTGCCAACCCACAACCATTTCAATGGCAGGCAACCAATACCTTGAGGACTAGCTTCTGTCCAGGGACCACCATTTTTTGTAGCGCTGGTTTCATCATTATGACACGGTTCTGAAAATTAGTTTGGGATTAAATTACAAAATACTCTTAACAATACTATACTATTGTACTGAGTGGTGAGTGATTTTTTTTACGTTTTATTGAGAGAATACTGTAACTTAGAAGTGTAATTTTAAACAAGTTACCATCAGTTGACAAGTCAGTGATTTTCTCTCCATACATCCAGTGCCTGAAAGATAAATTTAATAAATTAGTCACACCCTGTATTTTAGTTTATTATGGCAACATTTTTCAATCACAGTTTGAATTTTTAAAGTAGGTACTAACTTCAGTCCTCTTGTAGCTAAAATCTGATCTCCTTTACAAAGGATAATTCGAGGCTCCTCAGTGCATGGAGTTGTGAAGAATGTCCTCAAACCTTTTGTAAGAGGGCAACAGGCACCGTTGTAATCTTCTATTGCTTGATATCTCACCTGAAGGTTTTGAAAGATTAAAGTAAAAATCCTTTGACTGGTACCGCTGGATAAATCACTAACTGTACATTATAAACCTGTACTCTATGGCAATACAACAGGTTATCTGAGTGCATAATCTTCAGATCTTAAGCACAAGGGAGTGGTTTAAGCTGCCTTGAAGGATATCCTTGTGAGAGGCATATTTGCTGGGCACAGAAAATTTCATGAAGTATTGCCTTATGGCAAACATAATAGTTTTGAGCAAACTGTTCAAAACGGTAGAGGCAGCCCAATTCCAAGTGCTGATATTTTGTTTAGATCTATTTCAGTCTGGCATTTTGGCCAGAATTGGGCATTGGTTGGGCAGACGTATGAACCTTGTCTGTTCAAAGCTGAGCAAAGGGAACTAGAATTCTGTTAATTCCTTTGATTTGTGAGATGCTTTTGACAGCATTTACTGTATTATTCTGAGACACAGGTAAAACAATGTTCCTATACCTATCTATGCTTACTGAACACCTCTGTTCCTTTTTGTCAGATCCAAGTGAGGTTATAGAAGGATACTACTATAGAAATTATAGCTATCAACAAATGTCCATATCTCCAACATTTGTGGTGTTACAGATATGGACCACTATAGGATAAGTTATAACCAGTTAGTTCAAATATCTGTGATTCATAATCCATCTGCATTATGCTAGACCAATGCTTTGTTTTTTATTCCAACTCCTAGGATGGGCATCCAGAAACTGCGGCCCTCCAGCTGTTTGGGCCTTCCTGACAATTGAGCAAGCTCATTAGGGTTTCTGGGATTTAGAGGCCCAAACAGCTGGAGGGTCCCAGTTTGAGGATGCCTGCCCTAGGAACTCTCCACTAACACAGCCAGGGAGTTCTGGGAGTTCCAAAGGTATCTTGCCAAAGTTCTTCTTTCTTGTAGAGTCAACTAAATGGTCATCATAACATGGGATAAATTCTAGCACAGTAGTAGAACATGACATTTGCATTCATATCATTAATAGATTAATTTCCATTACATCTAATTTCAAGATATAGCAGGCACTGGCAGCCAGTGTGGAAGAGGTCTCTCTTGAATACATGGAAGATGCTCTGTGTTTTTTCGAGACTGCAGCTTACACAGTCCCTGGCCATTCTGGTTAGGGAAAATTAGAACTTTAGTCCAAAGCATTTGCAGGACTCCACGGTGCATACCTCTGTTTTATAGTATATGTCAGTGGAAAATGTGCTCCAGTTCTCTTTCAAAATGCCATAGGGTCACATCATGTCCTGAACATGATTTTAGAGTATATAAAATGAAATTACATTACACATCTCTTAGTTAGGTTCAACCTAATCCAACCTGCCAAAACATGGCTTGCGAATGTCACTCAGAGTATCTTTTCATGAACTGTGGAATGACCTGTTTGGTGAAAGGGCTTATTAACAAAAGACCCTCCTCATAAATGTACACCAGAGTAACTTATTAGCAGCAGCGTGACCCAGAACCAGTAGCCAAAAGTGGTAAAAAGAACAAAAACATACAGACCAATGCTGTATCTTTCTTAGGAGGCTTTCCTTCATAGCAAAATAATATGGTTGCACTATTTACAAGAACAAGGTTTCCATAAAACAAAGTTTTTTATACTTCCTTTTTCCTTCCACATTAGGCTTCTTTCTCATGCAGATAAAAAGCTTTGTGCTCACATAGTCTCTTCTCACACTAAATTTACATAGGAGCCTCACACAGTAGCCTTTTACACACAGCAGCTTTACACACAAGGCCTTCAACATGGGGCTTCTCTCAACAAAGCCTTCTCACACCGGGCCTACTAACACCAAGACCTACTCACACAGAGGACTGCTCACACTGAGGCCTTTCTCTCACTGAGGCCCTCTGACACTAAGGGCTCTCTCAGACTGATGCCTCTCATATACTGAGGCGAACTAACACTGAGGCCTACTCATACTGAGGCTTACTAAAACACTGAGGCCTTTCTCCCACAGAGACCTCTCACAGACTGACAACAGCTAAGCTACAGGCATACCTGCTTATATTGAACTTCAGCTTTTGCTGAGTCATTACATCGTCACAATTTTTGTAATTAAAAATACTTAGTTAATATTTAGTATTTCTGACACAACCTGCCGGAAGAACTCCCACAGCTAAATGAGCTGTCAGAATTTAAAACACACCTGAAGACTTATGGCTTCCGGAAAGCCTACCCAGCTAGTTTTAATTATGAATTTTAAACTCGCATCTTGTGTTCACTATATTTTAACCTTTGTTCTATTTTAATACATTTTATAGACATACATTTTCATATGTGCATTTCATAAAATGTTTAAGATGATTACGTGCTTTTAGCTATCCTGCAACCACCTCGAGCCACAAGGAGAGGCGGGAAAAATATAATAATAATAATAATAATAATAATAATAATAATAATAATATGTGCCTATCAAAAGCAGAATATAAATGTCTTCTACAAAAGACCCAGAAAAGTATTGACAAAATATCAAAACTGTAAGAAGAAGAAAGACGATGACAGCAACACACTGGCCCAGATCTAAATGCCAACCTTAGCTAGCCTAGATTCACTGACCCAATGGGAAATTTGATAAGTCAGCACTTAAGTAAGCTCCAATAAATTACTATTCAATTGAGACCTATGTTTATGCAAATTTCAGAGACGCAGAGACATACTTACACTTCTCACTCGCTTATCAGCTTTTTGTTTCAGTTGCTCTATCTGCAAGAGATTACATATTAGGAGGATTAAAGTGCATTCCCCTGGGACCCAGTTTCTCAGCTTTCCACAGATTTAAAATGAATTTCATTATGCACAGATGGGGAAATTCAGGAGAGGATGGGAATGGCTTACCGTTAAACTATACTGATGGCAGCCTTCCTTCACAGGCCATTCTAACCCATCACCTTCTGAGATTCCAGACCATGTGAAAACCTGCTTGAAATTATTCCACTTGCTTCCCAGGTCATAAGGAAAAATAAAGGTTTCTTTTGTTTGGTAATAGTTGATGCGATCTTTGGCCTGGAAAGCAAGAATAAAAGCCTCAAGTCAGTTATATGCAAACCTTCTGAACAATATGTAACAAATGACTCCAATTTACTACAGAACTGACAAGGGGCCATTACGATTCCTGGTGAAATGAGCCAAAAGCAAAAATCAACTTGTATAGAAGGAATCCTAAAGTGTGTATGTCAGCAAATGTGGTTAGGAAGAGCTATTATCAAGATCATTTATCTATTTGAAGTATTTCCAATCACTATTTAGAACTATAGTTTCACAAAAAAGCATGTCTTAACACATAATATAATACACTCAAAGTGTCCAAAGTGCATGTATTTCTGCAGACTGGAATTTCAGACAAAAACCAGAAAATTATTAAAGAATAGGATAATGTTAGGATATTATTACAGCATCATACACGAAGGGGCCAGCGTGATGTAGTGGTTTGAGTGTTCGACTAGAACACTAGGACACTAGGGTTCAAATTCCACTTGGGCAAGGCACACTCTCTTAGCCTCAGAGGGAAGGAAAGGAAACCCTCTCTGAACAAATCTTGTCAAGATAACCCCAAGACAGGTTTACTTTAGGGTCAACATAAGCTGGAAACTGCTTTAGGACCCACAACAACTAGCTTTTATATACTTCAAATCTTTAAGCTTGAATATTTTCAAGAAGTACTGTGCTGCCTTTCTTTAATGTGGATACATCCTTCATTCTTTATATTATACTGACCTCTAGTGATACAGTAAAAGTAGATACTTAAAACTCTTTATTTCCAGTGTCTACTAGAGCTGCTTTCCAAATAATAATAATAATCATCATCATCATCATCATCATCATCATCATCATCATCATCCTGACCTCACAATCATGGGGGGGGGGAAAAGTATGGATCGTTAATGTTGCAATCCCAGGTGACAGCAGGATTGATGAGAAGCAACTGGAAAAGCTTACACGATATGAGTATTTAAAGATAAAACTGCAAAGACTCTGGCACAAGCCAGTAAAGGTGTTCCCAGTGGTGATTGCCACACTGGGTGCAGTGCCTAAAGACCTTGGTCTACACTTAAAAACAATCAGCATTGACAAAATTACCATCTGTCAGCTGCAAAAGGCCACCCTACTCGCATACCCTACTGCACTCATTATTCGCCAATGCATCACACAGTTCTAGACACTTGGGAAGTGTCCGACATGTGATCAAATAAAAAAGCCAGCATAGAGATCATGTTTGCTGTGCACTAATATTGTTATGTATGAAATAATAATAATAATAATAATAATAATAATAATAATTCATTTCTAGACCACCCAGTCTCTCTGAGGGGACTCAGGGAAGTTTACACTTTAAAAAGGCAAACATGAAATGCCCAAACAAATTCAATAAAACAATACAATAATAATAAAGAATAATAATAACAGTAAACTTAACGCATAAAGGAATTAACAGTAAAATAAAACACAGGATATAAATAATTATGTAAAACATCTTACACTAATCACATATTCAACATTAAAACGTCTCTCATGATAAAAACTAAAATAGAAGAAAATTGGCTATTATAGATGTTCTTTAAAATGTACCATGTGGCCACGGGGTACAAGTATGTCGGCCAGCATTCCAAGTGAGATTAGTCTAGAGCGGTAGTTCTCAACCTGTGGGTCCTCTGATGTTTTGGCCTTCAACTCCCAGAAATCCTACCAGCTGGTAATCTGGCTGGGATTCCTGGGAATTCTAGGTCAAAAAACCTGGGGATCCACAGGTTGAGAACCACTGGTCTAGAGTGTCCTACTCCTTCTCCTCTCCATATGCCAAAGTGCAGAGGTGCGTTTTCAAGAGTTTTTTGAAGGCAAGGAGGGTGGGGGCCATTTTAGGGAGGGAGTTCCAGAGACGAGGAGCGATCACGGAGAAAACCCCCCTCTCGTTCCAACCAACCACACTTGTGACAGGGCTTCCTCCGATGACCACAGTGCCCTAGATGGCCTACATAGGGAGATGTGATTTGACAAATAGCCTGGACCCAAACCATTTAGGGCTTTATAGGTAACAACCAGCACTTTGTATTTAGCTTGGAAGCTGACCGGCAGCCGGTGGAGCTGCTGTAACTTAGGAGTAGTTCTCTACCTGTACGGGGCCTATTAGTGACCTGGCTGCCAATCTCTGAACTAACTGTAGTTCCCGAACTATCTTCAAAGGCAGCCTCACGTAGAGAACATGCAGCCGTCCAAACATATTGTCTTAAACTACATTAGATAAGTTGCTTATATATGGAAAGTGCCACATTTACTTCAATGGTAGGCACCATTCTGTTTTGAAGGCTTTTTAAGTGTTCGTCTTCATTGAGTGCAATAGGGAAGCACTTGACAAGAAGTGCTTTCAAAGTTTCTGCAGGAGCCACCATACCCACAGGATTAAAGACCCTAGAATTCTTCCTGGTCAAAACATCTCAGGCAAAAACAGTTCAATGCTTGTCTAAGAGAGATGGGTCAGGAATCTGGAATATACAAAGAGAACCTGTCTCATTTCCAGAATTAGAGAGCCATCCCTGGTACTTACTGATTTGTGTATATTGGTAGTTAATAATTATATATGGGTGAGGCAAGTTGCTATTTGATTGCACCTTTTTACTCCTGAAAAAGGAGCAGCAGTAAACATTCAAGGATACCAAACACTGCCTGATCTGTTCTACTGTCAGAACTTCATTTGAAGCTAACATGTCATTAGGTACGCTACAGGAATGTGGTTTAAAACAAATGTTAAGCTGGAGATGGGAACTGGACATGGTGCAGTCAGATTTTTTTTTAAAAAAAATAGGAATGATTTCAATAAAACAAGTCATTTAGGGAATAAACTGTCTTGTTCCAAAGAAGAGCTGCACCACCAGAAGCATGACTGATGTTTGCCCACCCCTGCTGCAGTCAGTTGCTAAATGATAGAAATAAAGAGAAATGTAGAAAATTGTGAAGTCTGCTTATTCTTATTCTACCTCCTGTTTGAAACATCTTACCAGGGATTCTGTTAACAAGATGTTTACTGGCTTCTATGGAAAGTGGTGTGGCTTAGAGTTTATACTATACAATCCTATCAGTTGCATACTACTGTGATTGGATGGAGCTTTCTAGCAGAGAATGCCCAGTATTTCAGTAAACTATACATATCCCAGGACTCTGTATTATACAGCAATTACAGTTACAGTGGACTTATAGGGCTATAAAAGTATAGTGCTCATACATTTTAAGTTTAATTGATAACACATGGAATAAAAGGTAAAGGTACCCTTTGACATTAAGTCTAGTCGAGTCCAATTCTGGGGGATGATGCTCATCTCCATTTATAAACTGAAGAGCCAGAGTTGTTCATAGTCAACTCCAAGGTAATGTGGCCGGCATGACTGCATGGAGCACCGTTACCTTCCTCCAAGGTGGTACCTATTGATCTACTCACATTTGCATATTTTCAAACTGCTATGGTGGCAGAAGCTGGGGCTAACAACGGGAGCTCACCCCGCCCCACAGATCTGAACTGCTGACCTTCTGGTCAGCAAGTTCTGCAACATGGCGGTTTAACCCACTGTGCCAGTGCGGCCCCCTAAGACATGGAATAACAGAGTCCATTTCTGAGCCCAGTTTGCTTCTGTAGAGAGAACAAACATATACAGTACACCAATTTACCTAAGTCATAATATATTTTTAAATGCTATGAAAAATGACATTACCTTTTCTTCAATCCATGATTCAATTGAAGTTTTATTCCTTAAGATGACTTTCATCTAAAAAGAGACAGGTTTATTTATGTGCATAAGTACACTGAGAGAGCAAACAAACAATAGAAGCCGTTTTGAGAAAACTACATGGCAGTAAGTATTTTGTTTCTCTAATATTTTTGAATAGGCAGCATGTTTAGTCATTTGAGCATTGGATTATGACTTTGGAAAGTCTGCTCAGCTGTGGAAATTCACTGCGTAACCTCGAGCAAGTCACACCCTCTCAGCCTCAGGTGAAAGTCAAAGCCAAATCTCCTCTGAACGAATCTTGCCAAGAAACCCTCATGATAGCTTCACCATGAGTTGGAAACAACTTGAAAACAAATAACAACAATATAATTGAAAAGGAGTAAAGAGGGTTTTCTGAACCTAGGATGTTGTCTGGACTAGCCCTTTGCACCTCACTCAATCAACACCTGAATGAAAGATCTTCAGGGAATGCCATTTATGAAATCTTGAGCTTCACCATGGAGGAAAGGCAGCATGATTAAAAATGGAGAAATAAAACGTGTGACACTTATGACACTAACACTGTTTTGTTTCTACAATATACTATCCCTTGAGGGATAGTGAGCCTCAAGAACTAACTCTTGAGCTAAGAAGGCATTATGTTGTGGCTTTTGGGAAGCACTCCTTCTCCTCCCTTCCTACCTTAAAAGTGACCCCAGAATCTGTCCAAGGCAGATGAATGGGCAGAAGAATATACATTCTACTCCCCCAAATCACATAAACCTGCACAGAACTAGTTGGAGATAGATAGATACACATACACACACATACAGTAGCTGAACCTGCCACACGTTGTTGTAGCCAACCTTTCCTCCCTCTTTCTCTCCTCTTTTCTTTCTCTCCTTCCTTCCTTCCTTTCTTCCCTTCTTTCCTTCATTCTCTCCTTGCTTCGTTCTCTTCCTCTTCCCTTCCGCTCCCCTTTTCTTTCATTTCCTCTTTCTCCCCTTTCTTCCTTCTCTACTTAATTCTTGCACTGCAACTCCCAGCAGTCCTCCTGTTCAATCTATCTACTAGGCCTGTGCGGTTTCGTTCGTTAATTCGTTATTAATTCGTTATTTTTGGCATTTCCGAAGCGATATCAAAACATATTTCCAAACCCGGAAGGGTTTTTAAATATCGAACCAGCAACCCCCATAGATTTAACGAGCCTCCGCTCGTTTCGTTAATGGGGTGGAGGCTGCTGGAGTGCTGGTGCCTGGGAGCCAATCCGGCGCTCCCAAGCAGTGCACCATGGGTCCGTGGCTGTCTGTTTTTGATTGGCCGGCGAGCCCTTTCAAAGCGGCTCCGCGCGGCCCGTAGCTTGCTGCAGAGGGCGAGGGAGTTTGCATTGGGTTGGCTTGGCTGCTAGCAACTCGGATTGGATTCATTCCTTGCTGCTGTGAGTGCTGCTTGCTTCATTTGCTGTCTCTTGCCTGTGTTTGGTCCACATTTGGGCCATTTTTTGGTTAATTTTCCATTTTAAAATATTTTTTAATATTATTTTTTAATATTATTTTTTAATATTATTTTTAATATTATTCTTAAAAAATATTCTAAAAAAGAAAAGACTCTTCTGTTGGTGTGTGCTCTCATTTGCTGTATCCTGCCTGTGTTTGGTCCACATTTGGGCCATTTTTTGGTTAATTTTCCATTTTAAAATATTTTTTAATATTATTTTAATATTATTTTTTAATATTATTTTAATATTATTCTTAAAAAATATTCTAAAAAAGAAAAGACTCTTCTGTTGGTGTGTGCTCTCATTTGCTGTATCCTGCCTGTGTTTGGTCCACATTTGGGCCATTTTTTGGTTAATTTTCCATTTTAAAATATTTTTTAATATTATTTTAATATTATTCTTAAGAAATACAAAAAATATTCTAAAAATTCGTTAATATTTACAAAATTTCTTAAATACCAAAACTTTTTGGGGGGAAAGTTTTGTAATTATTTTAAATATCGAAACAAAAAAACACCCCAATTACAAATCGATTTTAGAAACAAATTTTTTCTTGATCAAACAGGCCTACTATCTACCTACCCATCTATCTCTATGTAATGTATCTATCTATCTTATCTATCTGGAGGATTGCTGGGAGTTGCAGTCCAGGAATAGGAGATTGGAAATATGCAGGAATTGGGATGCTCTCAAAGAAATCCAAGGAGAAGAAAGCTTGCAGCTTGGAAGCAGTGCATTTGGATCATCCTCCTCTCCTAAAAGGCCTAGTCTAGGGGATGCTGGGAGCTGTAGTCCGAAAGAGTGTGTGGATATGCTATTGTGTGTTTTGTTTGCCAGGGAGAGTTGTTTTTGCACATGTGTTGTAGCATCTTTTTGCTTTTTTGCTTTTTTGGCTTTTTAAGTCCCTTCTGTTGTGTTTTTCAGTGTTTATGAGTGATGGTCACTCATTGGCCTGTTAGGTGTATTGTGTCCGAATTACGGGTCAATTCATCCAGTGGATTTTGAGTTATGTTAATCCCACAAACTAACATTACATTTTTATTTATATAGATACACACACACGCATACACACACAAACACGTATACAAACACACACACACACAGGATATAGGAAACATATTAGTAAGCAAATGAACTCAAGACTACTTCGCTGTCTTCTTCTTCTTCCCATAAGACCAAAGATATGAGCACACAAAACCAAAAGAACCGAGGCATGGCCTAACATAAATATTCATCACATTCTACAGTACATTCTGTCTGTTTATGTACACTCCATTGCTTTCCCCCTGCTGTATTTATCCAGTCTACTTCCAGAGATTAATCATCTCTATGTTATTTGCTCAGATGTTTCAAACTGGCCCTCCGATTCTACTGTGCACTACTTCAACATACTCCAAACTGTCACAAGCCAAGAGCAAGAATAACAAGAGCATTACACAAACAACTGAGCCCAGCTATTGAACAGCTAGTGATTATGTGGTAAAGGAGTCAAAACGGACAATGCAGTTCAGTCTGGGTCACTCACGGAAGATAACAATTTCCAGCCTTTGGGGAATTTATGGCAGTCTATTCAATGCTCATTTAGCCCCATTTTATGGGGGAAACCTCAGCACTACCCAGATATCTCCATAAAAGGGTTTTAATCAAAATCCATTTGAACATTTTAATAACAATAAAAGGAATAAACCAAAGGTTTGATAAATTACTAGTTTGATTATAACTCAGAATTCCATAGGTCGTCAGCCTGCAATTTTAGATACCTAGGAAGGCAAAGTGTGGTCTCCCAGAAACTACTAGCATTTTTCCACTGGATATGCTGGCTAGTGGGGCAATGATCTATAGCAGGTATGGACAAACTTGGGCCCTCCAGGTGTTTTGGACTTCAACTCCCACAATTCCTAACTTGTGTTTGTTTCTCTGGTTATTCTTGAAATAGTAACTCCAGTACATTTCACCACTGGTTGTACTAGCTAGGCCAAGCATCCTCAAACTGCAGCCCTTCAGCTGTTTGGGTCTTCAACTTCCAGAATTCCTGACAATTGAACAAAGCTTGTTGGGACTTTTGGGAGGCCCAAACAGCTGGAGGGCCATGGTTTGAGGATGCCTGAGCTAGGCTGATAAGTTACAATCTAATAGCATCCAGAGCGTCACGAGTAGCCCATGCCTGCTATATGGACATGCAGCCTAATTAAAGCATATCTGTTTCTCAATATGTTAAATACAGGTACTACAAAATATCGTACTCTATTGTTAACTGAGTTTTAAGCAGGAGATGAACTTCAGCATTTCTACTTCGTGATTCATTGCTGTGCATTTTCCATTTTGAAAATAACCCTTTCAATCCATCAGTAATGTTTCCTTTCTTCTATTTCTACAGCCTTTTCCCATCTCTCTCTCTTAATTCCCCAATCTATATCTATATCTATATCTATA